GGAGAGGTTTTGAAGAGTGTTGGATAGGAAGGGGGAAAGTTGAATGCCATTTGCTCACGGGAAGCTTAAATCAACTCTGCATTGCTTTCTTTTTGTCTGTCTGTCTGTCTCTTTCTCTTTCTTCATCTGTGTCGAGAATAGCTGGGTCCGGTGGTGAGCCAGGATGCCAGAGAAGGAGTTTACACTTACCTGACATCTCCGGAAGTGTGTCATAAGGCCACACACCCCACCCCCAACGGTCCTGGCCGCCACTGCCGGCCTTGCAGCTCCACTGCCGAGCCCCATGAGGGGCCCGGCGGTGGACCTGCAAGGCCGGCGGGAGTGCAAGGAAGCCCCGCGAAGGCCCTCCCTGGCCCCAGGCAGTCAGGGGGGGGGAGAGGCAACTTACCCTCCCTCTTCTCCTGCCTCCTCCTGGCTGAATGAGGGCCAGAAGAGGGGCGGCCGGAAGCAGGAGGCGGGGCTTCGTCATGTGCCCCAACCCCCGTACCTGACCCGGGGGAACTGCGATCCCCCGCGATCCCCCCTGAAAGGACATCTGAATCCTGGGGATTGTAGTTTGGTGCAGATGAGGAGAATGTGTTAAACATTCTCTAGTTACTCCCTGCACATAGCCCAAGAAACTCCAATTCCTAGAATTCCCTGGGCCAAGAGTTCTTTTGAATGTTTAGTGTAGCTCTGTCCATAATAACTTATCTGCGGACCACCCATGTCTGAGGAATCTTCAGTCCAGGAAATGAGTCATCGACAGATACCTGATGAAAAAAATATCCAGAGGTCTCAACGGAATTGATTTACCATTAGTCACTTCTGTGGGTCTTTTCACTGAGGCCGGTTGTCCTCACCATACGCAATCCTGCAAAATAAGTTTGGGTCAGAACGGGGCTTTTTTTTCTGGAAAAAAGAGGTGCCGGACCTCTCAAGAGGGAAATGAAGTTTTCAATCTGTATATTGGAAAGTCACCGACTTTTAAACATTTTAAAAAGTATTTTGTTGAAGAGGTTCCAGAACTCTGTTCCGGTGCGTTCCCCCAGATACACTTGGTTTAGATGAGCCGCACCGTAGAAGTGGTCAGGACAGTAGCTGTGTTGACCAGTATAACTGTCATGGCTACTCAAAAGGAATCCTGGGAATTGTAGTTTGGTGCAGATGAGGAGAATGCATTAAACATTCTCTAGTTACTCCCTGCACATAGCCCAAGAAACTCCAATTCCTAGAATTCCCTGGGCCAAGAGTTCTTTTGAATTTTTAGTGTAGCTCTGTCCGTAATAACTTATCTGCAGACCACCCATGTCTGAGGAATATTCAGTCCAGGAAATGACTCATCGACAGATACCTGACGTTAAGTGAGACAAGCGGAATGGACTAAGCCCCACACGCATCACATGAAAATGAGGAAGTGACTGCCCACTGAGGCAGGCTGTGTCACGGAGGGAGGGGGAGTCTCCCATGGTTCTTAAAACAAGTGAAAACTAGATGCCTCTTTTCTGGCCCAACTAGAAATTCTGGATGTGAGGCAGGACTGTCTAAATGCAGAAGACAAGAGACTGACTGCCTGAATTTAAGGCTGCGATGGGTCGCTGAAATAGTGTAGGCAAGTGGCCTCACCCTTTTTTATTATTTTGGGTGGATTCACACAAGTATTTATGAGTACCTAGAGAAGTCACAGTCCATGGGGTGTGTTTGTGTAGCTTTTTCACGCCTTGGATGGTTGCGGAAATGTTCCAGTTAACATGCCAAGATCGCGGCCCTCCCCTTCCCAGAAAACCTTCACAATATCAGTTGCTATACACTAAAACCTTAAAGGAGAAGACTAGTGTGACTATGATGGTTTTTCTCCTCCCCAATAGAATGCTGGGAGTTGGTTTTCGGGGGGGGGGGGAATTCAGAGAAATTTGGGTAAGAACTTGAGAGATCTAGCCACTAAGAATTTGGCAGTCACACACACAGTGATGGTGAAGTCACTGGTGGCTACCTTTCTCAGTCCTGTTGCTTTGATTTCCACCCACCCACCCATAAGAGCATCTAATATCCCTGCAAGTCCCCCTCTCTGCCCTTTGGGAAAATGAACCACAAAGAAGGAAGAGGAGTGGGGATAAATGCAGCCTGTCCTCCACTGTGTGTGATTTCCATCTCCTCCAGCTTTTTCTACCTGTTGGTGGGAGGAGCCTTTGGAATTCTCATCAGTCAGAGCTCTTGTGTGATTTTCGGAAGAACCACCCAGGTAGGTGGTTCTTTTTAGTGCGGGTTTTCGGGCGGGAGGGACGGATCGGGGACGGGCAGGCAACGATTCCCAGATGTTGCGGTGGGATCGCGCCCGTTTGCTCCGCCCCCGTTCTGTCTCGCTCCCGGACCAAAACCCCTCGTATGAACAGGGCCAATGTATGACTCCCTAAGGTCCTCTGAAGAAGAAGTGGATATAATTGTATGGAGTAACTTCAAGTTACTTGATGTATTCTGTGTGCGGCGAATGAGGCTGACATTCCGCTTTGATCACATGTGAATAGACACTCAGAGTCTCTAGGAAACATGAAGAGAAATGGTAACGCTGGGCGTAATTATGTGGTTAGAGGCTACAAATGACTCCCTCCTCCCCTCAGTAAGTGTATTAAGTGGCTGCTGCATAGCTCTCGCCCACCTGAGGAGTTAGAGACAAGTACACAATCTACTTTCAAAGGAATAGTACACTAGGTCTTAACACAAATCATGTGAATGTTGAAAGAACACAGTCCTTCCCAGAGTGCCTCTGTAAAACACAGAAAGTTTAGTTGCTTACAGTGCAAGAACAAAAAACCAGAGGAAGATTCTCAAATATGTCCCCGTGACTTCACTCTGAAGGTTATTCGGAGAAGGCCTGTGGTACTTCTGGGTTGTCCCACGAGCACTGAAAAGCCCCTACAGAACTACCCCTATTTGTTTTACCACTCGTGTGAAGGCAGCCCAAAGAACAGTTTGGCTGGCAACTGCTAGATGCTGTAACCTGGGTGCATGACACCTGAACAGCACACAGCACGTTCCTTTATCCAGAATAGGAGAGCGGCCAAAAAACACACACACCCCACAAACAATCCAAGCCGCAGCTCGAGAGGGCAAGGTGAACTTTTCCCGCCCTTGAACAACCCAGTCCTTAAGAACAGTTGGCTGCAATTCAACTGCTGGGTAAACGAAGGCAGGAAATCAGCTAAGCCAAAGGAAGCCCCATCCAGGTCAGGAATAAGGCACGGAAGGGCAGGCCAGAAAGGGAAGCGAGGGTAAGGAGAGGTACCGTAGGACTTCTAGAAGTGAATGGGAATGAGAACAAGAGGGGCTTCCATGCTTGAGTCGGTTAGGGAGAACTCATGTACTGAAGGGACCGGCAAAGGGAGGCTCTGTTGGCTTAGAGCAATGGGGTAGACCATCCCAGCACTGGGCTTTAGGTGGGAAGGAGATGTAGTCAGGGCTGTAGGCGTCACAGATGGAGGGCAGCAGGTGGTGCGCAGGCCAGAAGCTCTGTCGATGGGCACAGAAGGGGAAAATAACAGGAAGAAAACAAGATGACAGCTGTTAAAAGAAAGATGGCGCCCAGAAGAGAGCCAAGAGGGGGACGCTAGGCAGCCAGCTAAGGTAGGATGGGGGTGGTGGTGAGGTGGAGGGCTCTCATTCTTCTCCTTCTCCTGTCCCCTCCTCTGGGGCAAAAGTGTCTGTCCCACCAATTTCAACTGTGACCACCATAAAATCTAGCTGGGAGGAGGACCTTGAAATGGCAGCATGAGGGATTTTCCTCTGGTAGAAAACACCAGGGGTCATTTCCTGCAGGAGCACACAGGAGCAGAGCTCCGGCAGTAAAGAGCCCAGGGGGCGGGCACATGCAACAAGCCCCACCCCCTGTTCCCAGCAGCCCTCAGTCAGAGCAAGAACCAGCCAGGTAAGTTGCAGAACTCCCCCTGGCCCCCCAGTCCAAAACAGTCCAGTGGCACCTTTCAGACCAAGTTTTATTCAGGTACAAGCTCTCCCGCCTCTGTGAGGACAGATCTGCATGTCCCGTCCCACCCAATAGCTAGCAGTCCAAAACAGTCCAGTGGAGCCTGAGCGGTGCGTGTTGCCTTCTGACACACTTCCGGTGATGTCAGGGGGTGTGGCATATGCAAATGAGTTATGCTAATGAGCTCCTGCACCTCTTTTTCTACGAAATGACCCCTGGAAAACACCATCTGCTTCCTGAGAGAGGCGCAGAGTTGCAATTGGTGTGGGCCAGTGTCTCTTGTTATCCTTTCCTGGCTGTTTTCCCTCCCTTCTTTCCTTCCTTCAGATCAAAACGTGTTTTTTTTCTCCTTTCTCAGAACTTTTTTGGTGTGTGAAATGTTCATCTAGACACTTGGCTAATTTAATCTGTTAGTAAAAGCTTTTAAAAGCCAGCTTACCTTACAGTGTCAGCAAAAGCCATTCCCCTCTTGTTCTTTTTTAATCAGCACATTGCCTCAGAACTGGGAGTAATCATAGGTGTGTTTGTGGAATGACACAGATTTAAAGTTTATTTAGTAAAAAAAGTCATCTAAAACTTGGTCTCCTGGTGGATAAAAGATTTTTTTTTGTTGATTTACCACCTGACCTTTACCTGATGATTAATCATCAACCGAATTTAATTTCAATGATCTTGCTCATCTGTCACCAAACACCGACATGACTTTTTTTAGATACTGAAGGAAGTCAAGATTGCTCTCGCTTCAGTAAACAAAAACTTTAATTCATTCCTAGGCCTTTTTTTGGGGGGGGGTCTTTTCTTTTTCATTCTCTGTTAGATTAACAAGAGGCAGACCCACAAGGATTCATGGAAGAGGGAGAATTACATTTATCTCCCACATTTTGGTGTAGTGTAGTGGTTAAGTGTGCGGACTCTAATCTGGGAGAACCGGGTTTGATTCCCCACTCCTCCACTTGCAGCTGCTGGATGACCTTGGGCAAGCAATAGTTCTGTCAGAGCTGTTCTCTCAAGGACAGTTCTCTCAGAGCCCTCTCAGCCCCACCTACCTCACAGGGTGTTTGTTGTGGGGAGGGGAAGGGAAAGGAGTTTGTAAGCCGCTCTGAGACTCTAAGTGAGGGGCGGGGTATAAATCCCATCTCTTCCTCTTCCTCCTCCTCCTCTTCTTCTTCTCTACTTCCCCCCCCCCCCCCCCACCCCCCCGCCGGTTCTGACACCACTTCTTCCTCCCCTTACCAGTTCTTCCTCTTCTTGTTTGTAGTTGTCCCTGCATAAGATCAGGTGCCATTTTGGGATGCTGTGCTGCCCAAACTCCTTTCTTTTTTGTAATGTTTGCATGTACAGCATCTTTCTTAACTGGGGGGGGGTTAGCCCCAAATTAGGTATTTTTTCCATAAAGCAAATGAAATTGAGCATTAGTGCCTTGCTAATGAGTGAGTTTTTTGGTTGGCCATGCTGCCTGTGGCAGCCATTTTGTGTGTGTGCTGTGCTCACCACACAGTGTCAAAATTCCAAAGGTGCATGAAGGGTGAGAAAGGTGTACACTCCTGGTGTGGACCCTTTAATATCTCTCTCTGGTCAAAGCTATGGCCATAATGAAATGAAACCAGATGGAGGGGAGTAAGAGGAACTGCAGATGAGGAGATGAACAGCTAGGAAATCCTCTTCTTCCCCTGACTTCCAGCTCTCTCTAGATTACCACAATAAGCTCTTTGAGGGAAGAGAAAAAAATGGGCCTGCTGATTTCCTGGTTTCCCCCTCTTTTAATGGACTCGGCCGCTTTCAAAAGGTCCAGGGCCATGAGCATGCTCACTCTTTATTAGCCGGCTTTTCATGAAGGAGTGAATTATTATTTTTTACTTGACAAACTAAAGTGAAAGCTTTGTTAACTGGCACTCGGTTCGGGAACCTCTCACGCTGCCAACCCTGGTTGGTAGGGCTCCCAGCCTCCAGTTGGGGAATGGCGTTCTCCCAGATTTACAAATGCTGTCCAGACTACAGAGACCAGTTCCTCTGGAGAAAATGGCCGCTTCAGAGGGCAGTCTCCAGGTTCTGTCCCCAAACCTCCTGGAATTTCACAACCAAGAGCCGGCAACCCTATCCGGTGGCACCAAATATAGTCAATTGCTTGCGGCTACCACCCCTTGTTGAAATCTTTAACTGGCAACCCAACCCCCATTCCCCATGGGTGCCAGATAACAAAGCGTCTACTGTAATATTTTTCTGTTTTACCGAGGAAGTTCAAATATGCAGAACCCCCTACCTTGTCTGTGGGTGACTCTGTTTCACTGCCCCTAGTGATGGGTGCACTAGGGTTGCCAGACGTCCATCGGGGGCGGGGGAAACCCTGCTTTTGTGGGGCGCTTTCCCATCCCCAGCCACCTGGCCACTGGGGGGAATCCCACCCCCAACTGGCCTGAAAGGCGACATGATGACCAGTGTTCCCTCTAAGCTGAGTTAGTGTGAGCTAGCTCACAGTTTTTTAGCCTCCAGCTCACACATTTTTGTCTTAGCTCAGGAAGGATGGCTCCAGAGCAAACTAATTTATGCAGTAGCCAATTCACTCGCTCAAAACTTTAATGCTAGTAGCCATCCTGTTTTAAAGTGAAAGCTCACCCCGTAGGCCTCTCAGCCTGTAAACTGCTTTGCACTTCCTTCCTTCCTTCCCTACAGACACAAAAATGAAATCAAGAGAGTCAGCTGCACATATGACTTCGTAGCCAGAAACAGCAATGAACTGTCAGTCCTTCAAGGAGAGGAGCTGGAGGTGAGTTGGCATCTCAGGACACTGCTTGGAGAACATCGTAATATTTGGAGACATACCCCTCTAACCTGGAAGGGAGGAATACAGGTGGAGAGATAATTTGCAGCACTGGCTCTGCTATAGAGAAGCCTATCACCTTCAGAACTGTAAAGAATGTGCTAAATTAGGATAGGCTTGTAAGTAGACAGTGTCTTGGTCACCCATGTTGAGGCAAAAATTGCCTCAACTAGGTGACTAAACAAGGAACTTTTTGTAAATGGGACATTGGTCTTTTTCTTCCTCTTTTCCCCTCCCTTTAGGGTTGGCAAATTGACTTACCTCGCCGGCGGGGGACTCTGGGGTGGCTCTCGGGGCGCGCGCGCGCGCGCCGTGTGCACATCACAGGCAAGTGACGTCATGACACCGGGCGCGCTGGGGGCGGGGCCACAGCCATTTGAGGGGAAAACTATGTTCGGGCCTCCAAAGTGGGGGGAAATCCGACCCCCGGGGGGAATTGGCAGCCCTACCTCCCTTATAGGCCAGGTGCCACAAATTATCAACATGGATATGCATGGACTGTCGAGTAGTTTAAAAAAAATTATGCTAGTACTTTTGGGAACTGTTTGCACATCTAGTTTGGGACTCTTCTCACGATTCAAAGGATTGTGGAAAATGTGGTGAGAGTTTTTGCGTTGACTTAGCTGGGGGTATTCCATTTGTTGTCGCTTAGGTCCTGGATGACAGCAAGAAGTGGTGGAAAGTTCAGAACATCTACGGTCAAGTAGGCTACGTGCCTTACAATATCATCACCCCAGTTGTGACCGGAGATGGCGACGGCCCTCAGATCCACAACACAACGGTCCAAATCAATGGAACCAACTCTGCGAGAACACAAGCGCCGGTACAGTGGACTGCGCCCAGCAGGTGTCCTTTTAGTTGAGGGGAAAGACAAGTCCTGGGGGAACCTTGTCGAGCACGATCAGGCTTGGTGTGGAGGAAGTGGGGGGAGTGAGAGAGAACTCTGTAAAAATTGCCATGGCACTAGAATTTGGGGTCTGGGTGAACTCAACTGATAGAAGGAACATAAGAACATAAGAGACGCCAATGTTGGATCAGGCCAAAGGCCCATCCAGTCCAACACTCTGTGTCACACAGTGGCCAGAAATACCAGGTGCCATCAGGAGGTCCACCAGTGGGGCCAGGACATTAGAAGCTCTCCCACTGTTGACCCCCCCCAAGCACCAAGAAGACAGAGCATCACTTGCCCCAGAGCCCCTATCTATACCCTGTGGCTAATAGCCACTGATGGACCTCTGCTCCAGATGCTTATCTAATTCCCTTTTGAAGCTGTCCATGCTTGTAGCCGCCACCACTTCCTGTGACAGTGAATTCCAAGTGTTAATCACTCTTTGGGTGAAGAAGGACTTCCTTTTATCCGTTCTATCCCGACCGCTCCGCAGTTTCATGGAGTGCCCACGAGTTCTTGTATTGTGAGAAAGGGAGAAAAGTACCTCTTTCTCTACCTGTTCTTTCCCATGCATAATCTTATAAACCTCGATCATGTCACCCCTCAGTCATCGTTTCTCCAAGCTAAAGAGCCCTAAGCATTTCTCAAAACACCTGTTACCTCAGACCATCTAGTCTAGCCTTGTTTCCAATATTTCTTACTACAGACAGAGGTTTAACACTCCACTTACAGCAAACACAAACATCAGATTAAGCGTTGTAAAAATGACCTAAGGTGCGCAGGGCCCACACCGTTCAATATATACTCAGTACAGAAAGTATTCACGGAACTTGAGCAGCAGCATTGGGATCACTGGTGTAATGTAGTCCCTGACTCCATCACAAGATCAGGAGACCAAAGTGTTTTTTTGCTTCGTTTCCTCTGTTTAGAAAACCCCACCTCAGCCACCGCCCAAGACTCGAATCCCACACCAAAATGGCCGGCGCTGGGCTAGTGCCGAAGGGCTTAACGTGGGCCAGAGCGATCGAGGTAAGAATTCCCTCCCTGAGGATCTGGCGAGGAAATCTCTTCTTTGTCATTGTTTTGCTGGACAGGAGACCCAACACAGAGCAGCTTCTTAGCTTTTCTCATTGGCTTGTTTAGGAGACAAGAGGAAGAGTTTGGCTCACGGCCTAGCTGAAGGTGCAGGCTGACTGAACTGTGGAGAAATAATTTTTTTAAAAAAATAATTTAATACAGCTATTATGAGAAGTGCAGAGAAGAGATACAAAGTAGGCGTAAAATACATTGCCAAACAGAATTGGAATCCACCCTACCTCTTGAATTTAGAGAATCCCATTCCAGCAGTTGTGAACATTAATATTAAATCTAATTATACAATTATACAATTTGCAGCTCCATTTTTTGTATCACTCTTGAGCATAAACTCTAATCTAGATACATCTCTAAAGCGGTTAATTTCACCAAAGTAAAAATTTCCTTTACTTTCAGCAACCATTCTGGTAGAGTAGGGGAATTATTTTGTTTCCAGTACCTGGCAAAAACAAGTCTGGCAGCAGTAATCATATGTAAAGTGACTATTTGCCTATCTCTGGGAATGTCAGGAAGGTAATTCAGCAATAATGTCTCTGGCTTAGAAGGAACTGGTTCACCCAACCCAATTGATAATATTTTCACCGCTGAACTGTGGAGAAATTAGTGAAGACTCCACGGCTCCAACAGAAAATGGCTAGACTTCCCTAAGCTGTGGAGTCTTGTGAGGAAAAAATTCTACTTTGTGAGCTACTGGCATTAAAGCTGTATGTGAGCGATTCAGCTACTGCATCAGAGGTCATTTCGGGGGGGATCGCAGTTCCCCCGGGTGAGGTACGGGGGGGGCACATGACGAAGCCCCGCCCCCCGCTTCCGGCCACCCCGCTTCCGGCCCTCATTCAGCCAGGAGGAGGCAGGAGAAGAGGGAGGGTAAGTTGCTTCCTCCCTGCCTCTCCCCACCCCTGCCTGCCTGGGGCCAGGGAGGGCCTTCGCGGGGCTTCCTTGCACTCCCGCCGGCCTTGCAGGTCCACCGCCAGGCCCCTCATGGGGAGCTTAGAGGGAACACTGAGTCGTTGCCAACCTCCAGGTGGGGCCTGGAATCCTCCCAGAATTACAACTGATCTCCAGATTACACAGGTCAATTGCCCTGAAGGAAGTTAGACTGATCTGTATGGAATCACATCCCTCCTGAGTTCCCTGCCCCAACTCCACCCTCCCCAGGCACTGACCCCCAATTTTCCAGGAATTCAGCAAGCCAGAGTTGGCAACCCTACCTGTAGAGGCACTAGAAGAAAGCCCTTTGTCATTCTGTAGAATCGTTATTTGTGTGTTCAGAACTGCTGGAACACGTTGGTGGTATTAAACTTTGTGGCCGACTCCCACAGCTCACCCAGGCAGATTGTTTCTCAAAGACAGCAGTGGCCTGGTTTGTGAAAATAACAGAAGCTATTATTTTTTTCAACGAGGGGTGACAAAATACAAGATCATTCCCTGTGTAACAGTTACCACAAGCTCTGTCTCCTGACTAATTACTCCCAAGCAGGCCCTCAGGCAGGGCTATTTTTGGGCAGGAACGCAACGGAACGGAGTTCCGGCTGGCTTCAGAGTTGGCCACGCCCACCACAGCCAAAACCTCTGCGTGCGTGGCTACAGAGGGAAGGCCTTGAAGGATTGGGGAGGTATTTAAATGCCTCCATGTGCCTTCCCTAGTGTGTCCAGGGCCGTCTTGCCCAGGCTTCCCGCAGCTGCAGGGCACCTGAGGAAGCCAAAGGAAGGCAGTTTAAAGCTGCCTTCTCTTCCCTTCAAGGGGGGCCTTGCCCAGACTCCCCGCAGCCACAGGGTGCCCAGGCAAGCCAAGGGAAGGCATGGGGTGTGACTTATTATGCTAATTAGTTTCTGCTGTTGGGTGTGGCCTATTATGCTAATGAGTTCCTGCTGGGCTTTTTCTACAAAAAAAGCCCTGCCCTCAGGCTTCCAGAACTCTCTCTGACTTCACAAAGAGCCTCTTCACAAATGTCTCTTCTCCCCTGGCTGACTGTGGCCTCGGAAGACTATTTTATAACTGTCCTCATTCATGTATTCCAAAGTTCCTTGGGCAGGATTTGGCTGCCATTTTGTAACACACATAAAACCATCGGAGGCTTGTTGTACTGGAGACTGGGTCATAAACTCATCTGCCTAGCTCTATACAAACGTTTAAAGCCAAGTGCCTGAAACT